CGAATGCGGCACCCATTGTGCACACAGCTTTCTGTAACCCAAAACTTCAGCCAAAATATTGCTCACACTGCCTAACGAAATCCCTAGGGCTTCTACTAAATCTCTCTCGGTTAATCGACGATCTTCCAAAACCATATGCTGTATTTTTGCTACGATTTCTGGTGTTGATGCACTTTTTGGATGCCCTTCACGTGGATCGTCTTCAAGACTCGTACGACCACGTTTAAATTCAGCAACCCATCTTTCTACTGTTCTGATTGAAGGTGAAGAGTCCTTATACACTTTTAACAATCGTTCATGAATTTGTTTTGGTGCTACACCTTCCAAAAATAAGAATTTTATCACTGCACGATATTCGATTTTTTCCATCGTAAAAAAATACAATGATATGTCGACTTTGAACAGCTGCAAATATACAATGCGTTGACGGATCTACTTGAAACTTGACACGTGTTTATGAAATAGTAGTACTATTTATAGAATAATAAAGTGACGCTCCTAGTAGTGCCACCTCTTATCGAACGACAAAACTTATTGAACAACCTGGTAATTATTCTGCAAAACTTGATCTATTGCAGCAGTAGGCAACCTATGGTCTGCAGGCCAACTTTGGCCCTCAAACATATCTATGGTAATTCAGCTCATGGCTGTTTTCAAAGTATAATTAGATTTATTGTAACTTTTTATTATACACAAATTCTTTGTGTTGTCTGTATATTATTATTTTCTGTATGTCCTTCTTTTTGATAATTTTCATCATCTTTCTCAAAGAAGGACATACACAAAATAATAATATACAGACAACACAAAGAATTTGTGTATAATAAAAAGTTACAATAAATCTAATTATACAATTATGTATTATTCTGCATGTTGTTTACTACAGTATATATATTTCAAAAACAACCATGAGCTGAATTACCATAGATATGTTTGAGGACCAGAGTTGGCCTGCAGACCATAGGTTGCCTACTGCTGCAATAGATCATTCAAGTTTGCAAAATTATACAATGAGTATTAGTTACTTTACTATAATAACAGTTAAGGCTAATATATATATATATATGTATTACTTTATTATATATTACTTTCTAGATTTATATACAGTAGAACCTCACTTAATGAGCATAATTTGTTCTAGAATCTTACTCGTAACATGAAACATTTATTAAGTGACAATTTCTCCCATATAAATTAATGTAAAATATAATAATGCATTCCATGCTGAAAAAATACTCAAATATTTTATGTATAATGTTTATTCAAAGAAAATTATACAATATACATTGTTAAGGAGCATGAATCATCATCATCTTTTCTTCTAGTGTGGAATGAACCAACCTGGAATGAGAATTCAATTTGTAGAAAACAAAAAAAAAAAAAATTTAAATAATTAGTTTATTATAATATTCAATTATAGCCTTTACATAGCCCAAGATTTTGGCATATTGTTTGGAATATTTATTATATAATGGGCTATGGTTGTTGATGTTTATATGTAATATGTCTGAACACAAGTTTGAAAAAATGTGTGATCACAATAAGGGCTGTGGAGTCAGAGTCGCGAAAAATGTGAAAACTCTGAATCCGGCATTTTAAAATTCATTTAAATATAAAAACTAAATTAAAAGAAAATTTATTTTATATTTATTAATTTTTTCAAATGATTTTGTATTTTGTTATAATTTATTTATTTTAAATACAAAATTAACAGTTTAATTTATTAAATATGTATCAATAATTTTCTTTGTAGTATTTGTGTTTAGTAGTTAAATTATTTTGACCCAATTGAATTTGAATATTTTTGATTCATTCCTTTATTATCCCTGCTCTAAATAAGTACTCTATTTTTTTGAATGAGCAAGACTAATTGATCAGAGTATATATTTTTCTTTTCTGAATAAGGGGCTGAAGTAGCTAGATTGCGCACTTTTTAGTTGGACTAACTTTTCTGGAAAGGTGAAATCGAAGTGCAAAAGCTGTAGAATAAAGATGTGTAGATGTAGAGTTTTATTGCTCTCCTTTTTCCTCTTATTAAATATTTGTTAAAAATTAATTTTTTTATACAAATAAATATTGATGTAAGTTAAATATTAAAAATATTAACTAAAAGTATTTGGGTAAATGCCCGGGACTCCTATCAGAGTTCAGAATAGGGTAACCCTCTATGAGTGCCTCTGCCCCCCAAAAAAATGACTTGTATTTAATTTTGTCGGAGTTGGAGTTGGCCTACTAAAATTATCAGGAGTTGAGTGTTTTTTTTACCTACTCCGCAGCCCTGATCACAAGCGACACTAAGATGCTAGCAGAATGAGTGCTAAACACAGACTGATGTAACATGCACAAAATCTGGGACTTCCCTTCTCCTTGTCACTCGTTATGTGAAACGTCACTTGTTAAACGAGTCATTTTTTTACAATTTGTTTTGCTCATTATACAAATTACTTGTTATGACAGGTGCTTGTTAAGTGAGGTTTCACTGTAAACTAAAAAATAAGGATAAATTGTTATATTATTATGTATTTGAAGAATGAATGAAAACATCATATTTTATTAATATGAATAAAGCTGAATATATTTTGTCATAGAATAATAAATAATTAACTAATTTTTGTTAATATTCAGGACCAAGTGGAATTCCTGGAATTCCTGGTTTGAAAGGTGATAAGGGTGAAGCTGGATTTACAGGGGCACCTGGCTTTCCTGGATTAAAAGGAGAAAGAGGCATTCCAGGACCATCAGGTTTTCCTGGACTTCCAGGTAAATATAATCAATAAATAAATAAAAATTATTTCTTTATTTATAACATTACTTAAAATGTATTCAAATACTCTTACAATTATTACATATTATAATTTATGAAAAGAAAATTTTCTAAAAATACATTGGCTTATTAGAAAAATATACAGTAACAGATCAAATATCCAGCAAGCTTAGGAGAGAAGTGGTCTGAATTTCTGGATTTTCCAATTCTCTGAACACAGGTTAAATATAAAATAATGGAATGCAATGGAAAGTAGGGCAATATTATATTTAAGACATTGTATGCCAGCAGTCACACTGGAACTGGCATCACAACATAGCCATGTCACAAACTACAGATGTATATAGCCCATCAAATTCAAAAATAACCAGTTTTTTGAAAGTAGGATATTTGGTCTGTTATTGTACAGGGTAATTCAGAAAGAATCATCTGATTTCAAACTTTTATATTTCTAAAAATTAGTTATTTAAAAATGATAAGTTATACATGAATGTAAAGGACAAATGTCTATGTTTTAGATTATGAACAATAGATGGTACTAGTATGCCATTTATGAAGCTCTTTTGGAGAAGTGAAAATGATATCTAATCAGCAGAAAACTTTTTTCATGCTATGATTTGAATAATGTCAGTCATAATCACTGTTCAGCATGGAAGTACCATATGAATCCATTGATGGTTCAGAGTATTCTCAGGTGGTATCAGCAGTTTGAGGAGACAGGATATCTTTATAAATGAATAAGTCTAGGGCAACCAGACATATCTGCAGAGGATGTTTAAAGAGTGAGAGAGACTTTTATATGCAGCATGAAGAAATTGACTTATTGCACTAGTTGAGAAGTGGAGATTCCTCAGCCTACTGTTTGGTGTGTGCTGAGGAAAAAATTGTGTTAGAAGCCATACAAATTGCATAACTTGCAAACACTGAAGTTTAGTGGTGAGCTGCAATGACTGAACTTCTCCCTTTACATGCAAGAGACTATGAAGGCAAACAATTTTCACACCCACCCTTTCCATTTAAGTGACAAAGTGAACTGTCTGCCACATTCCACTTTGCATTTAGGGCTCTGGAAATCCTCATGCATGCATCGCACATGAACAGAACGCTCCCAAAATTAATGTTTTTTTTGCACACTTTCCATATCAAAGATTTACAGATATGGAAAGTGCACAAAAAAAATTATTTTTTTACAGAAGAAACAGTGACTGGCACTTCACATTTGGATATGTTACAAACTAGCTTTTTCCTGAGTTGAAGGAAAATCTTCCCAACTTTTCAACAAGATGAGGCACTACTCCACTGGCTTATATACGTTTGTACATAGAGCTACCCCACAGTTGGATTGGTGGTGGACTAGATGACCTGGTGTTACACAGTTGGCCTCCTAGGTCTCTGGATATTGGGAATTTCTATCCTAGGTCCCATGCAACTTCTTTTGGGTGTATGTGAAAGATCAGGCATTTGTCCCACCTATGCCCAAAGTTTATGCAAACTTAAATAATGCATTTCTGCTGCTTTAGAAATAGTTACCAATGACATATTGGAATGTGTTTAATGTCAAGGCAATATGCAAATTCCTGTCATACATGGGACTAAAGAAACTCAAATTGAACATTTGTAAAAATCTAAATATATAAAATTACTTGTCCTGACTGACTGAATGACTGATTCATAATCGCCCAGAGCAAACCACTGAACCTAAAGAGGTGAAATTTGGTACACAGTTAGGGTATGTCATGAAAACGCACACTAAGAAGGGATTTTTTGAAATTCCCCCACAGGTGAGAGGGAGAGGATTAAGGCTTAACCGGAAGAACGGCTTCTACTGTACTATTTAAATGAAATTTTTAGTCTTCATTGAGTACTTAGGTGTATTAAATTGATAAAAATATTTATAACAATGTCTGAAATGTTATCTATTTCTATTTTAAAAACGTTCAAACCGTTTTAAATTTGAATTTGTTATTGCATATTGGTTCGATTATAGAATGATTGAAAACAGTTTGTTTGATTCTCAGCAATTCTCATCATTCTCAGTGGTAGGTGTTATATAACAATTACTATAGTTGTTGAAATACTGAATATAAATGGGGTTTGCTTGCAAAATCCTCACAGGCAAAGCCGCGGGTAACAGCTAGTACTTAGATAAATGTAAAGGAAAATTGTCTATTACTTATCATTCTGTGTTGATAAATTTTAATTTTTAAAATTTGAAATTGGATGATTCTTTCTGAATTGCCCTTTATTTTATTTTGGTTGTTCAAATTTATATAAAAAATAACTTATGCAATATGAGATTTACATTATTCTTCTATTACTTATGACATACAGACATATTTATACATACAGGATGAGACAGAAGTCAGGAAACATCCTTTTATTTCAAGTAATGTTGACAAAATACTTTCCATATGCCAAAATAGTAATTGGTGGGAGCATCTATCTTGTCATATGGCAAGTATGGTTTTTCTAAACTTGCTTCATCCTGTATATGTATGTGTGTGTGTATAAATCATAAATAATACAATGCAATCCTGTAATTCAGTTATTTTTAATTAAATAAATTGTTACAAAATTATGTTTGATTTCACTATTATGATCTGTATGCTTCAATTAAAAACAAAAAAATCTAAAGCTCAGTTTTAATATTTAAATTAAGTATCTATTTATCACTTAAGTTAAACTTCCATTGTTGAAGGTTCTTTTCATTGTTATATGTTTTAAAGGTATTTTAAAAATTTTCAGTTTAATTTTTATATTTAATGCATGTGATTACTCCAATTTACTTTATTTATTTTTATTATATTTCTATAAGGATATTCATTATTAGTAACATCAGTGGCGTGCCATCATTGGAAGCGATGGAAGCACTGCTTCCCTTGTATTTTCTAAAAAATAAATACATATTAATTTTAATTATATGAAAATAATCGCACATTATTTTATTATAACCACATTATGTATCTTATTACAAATTTCTATACTACACGTCTAAAAAAAAGATAAGATTGCTATTGTATACTCGAATATTAGTGGCATAGCCAGATTCACGCATATGCTTTACAGAGCACCAACCTCACCCGGTTTTGCTGGTGGGAGCCTAGGACCTTGGGTGGATGCTACCCATATAATGCTTTCAATTCTATCCAGGACCGGTTCTGGGCTGTTAGCCACCTGCCAGCTAGATATTTGGCCGCTCTCGCCTGATTATGTAAATCATGAGTAGATTTATAACTTAACCCAACCAATAAGAATTTACTGGTATGTTTTTATGATAGTTCTGTATAGATGACAGGAGTTAAAAAAAAGTCCATTAAAATATTTGATATTTTTATTCCGCTCTTCCATCTTACATTACTTACGGATTTCAATGTTAAACCAGTGATATTATGATTTCGTATGTCCCATCTATAAGGGGATGTAGAAAAAAACGTGTACAATTCTTGTACAATGTTAAAAAATTAACCGTTACTTTGGTAGCATCATTTACAACTAAATTTAATGAATGAGAGAGATGTACGAGGTACAGAAAAAGCTCTAGAATTTATTTTCCTTAAATTTATGATTTATGTATCCATTGTCATAAAAATTTGTCTTTCCACATTTTTCCTGAGATTACAAATATTCGAGTACAAAGTAACAGGTTTTGACTTATTTCTACTTAAGAAGTAGTTAAATAATTAAGCAATTAAGGAATTGGGGACATAAATAAAACCCTTGCTGAAATAGCCAGAATTTTACTTAAACAAAAGCTTAACCGAGTACAGTGTGAACTGATTTCTTCATAATATTAGATGTAATAAAGACAGAAATTTTCCAGTTCAATGAAAATAACTAAAAGTTGTAAATTTTGGAAATTTCTGTGGACACCTGGTCCTAAAAAGAATTAGTTAGAAAACAAATGACTATTAAGTTTAACATATTTAGATTTTTACAGCTATGATGAGAAACGTTTAAAATCTATAACAACCCTGTGGCGTCCTTTCAGATATACTAATAATGCGACATTTGACATTAACCGGTATCGGCACCCTCGGGATTTGCATGCATGCATTCACTGCACACCTACTAAGACCATCTCTGATTCTATCCATGAGCCACTGGTAGGGAGCAATTTTAACTAAGTGGATTGTTTTAATATTTGAAAAGTAAAGAATATTTCATGTTATTTTTATGTACGTTTCTTCACAAAACTATATTTATTTATAATTTTCTTTAAAAGTATATTCATACAATTGAATATTTTGTACCAGGTATGTATAATTGTATATCCATCACACATTTTATTTTAACAAGTAAGTTTTTATAATTTTATTTTTAATTTTAGCCCTTATATTATGGCTAGCAATTTAGAATGTAATTGCAATATTGAAAATTTATTTTAAAAAAGTTTTGGCTCGAGACCATATAATGAAAAAGAAAACAAAGAGAAAGACCAATGCCTAAATTAAATATAAATACATCAACAAAAAAATTTGTTTGACATTTTCACCATAAAATTTATGAAGACATAAAATGGTTTTGTGGATGCATAAAAATACAAAAATTGTTTTGTTGGCCTTGCCTATTATTTTCAAATGAAATTAGTGTGTGGAAAAAGAATGGCTTTGACGATTTAAATAATTTGAGTAAAGCTGGCAAAAGACACGAAGATCATAAATCTCGCATTGATTCTTTCTTAAAATTGAAGCAATTTGGAAATCAAAGCAGAATAGAATTTAACATTGTTATAATTTTCAATATTTATTTTATATTGTTTACTAAAGTTACAGCTAATAGATATATACAGTAGAGCCTCGATTATCCGACACCTCAGTTAACCGACTGTCCTAGTTGGCAAATTTCAAATGTCCGCTAGTGATGTGGCGCTACAATATTTGGCCATGTCTTGGCTACTTTAATATTATTTTTACGTGTTTTAGCTGGCAACACTCATTCGACCATGAAAGGGAGCCAGTATTTAAACGAGGCTTAATTTTCTAATTTTTAACGATACAATAGCGACGATTATTATTTTAAAAAATTTTTGTTAGGCTTAACATCGATGAAAATTCAACGCGAAGTAGGTTAATAGCGATATACTAATATACTAATTACATGGGATATAATAATATACTACACTAATAATGGATTTTTTCATACTTTTCGGTTATCCGACTTTTCAATTATCCGACCAACCCGAGTCCCCAATTGAGTCGGATAATCGAGGCTCTACTGTATTTAAATTAGTAGATGTTATTGAAATAAGAATTGGCATTTAGAGGGTATATGGAATCTATTGAATTTAATATAACAGAGGTAATTATATTGAGCTTGCTTATTTATTAAGTGCATTAGATAATCTATTAATTAAAAATACATTTAGAGAAGTCTAGGGTTTTTACTGGCTTATCGAACAAACAAATACCAATGTACCCTAGACCATCACTGACTGATTGTCCCTGGAAGTAGGCTTCTTATAGAAACACAGCTTCCCTATCATCAAATGTCACGGCACGCCACTGAGTAACATTTAGTTTGAGAAATGTTACTCTTATTATACTCTATGGAAGTACTTTGAGACAATGTTCAATTTTAAAACATAACTTTGTATATTGAATGAATATGTATAAATATTTAGGTCCAAAGGGGGAGAGAGGTCTAAAAGGAGAGAAAGGAGTAGTTCCACCTGCTGCTTTGTTAAAAGGAGAGAAAGGGGAGAGAGGTCAACAAGGACCTCCAGGAGAAAGAGGACCACAAGGACCTCCTGGATTTGATGGTTTTCCTGGACAGCCAGGTAAAATACTTTTATTTATCTAAATATTTATTTATTTTTGTGACAGTATGAAATTAATGATTGTTGATAATTTTGTTAGCTGGCAGCATTGCCAGCATGAGAATGGTGGTCTTAACCAGTGTTTGAATGATTCTAATGAACCGAGATTGATCAATGACTGAGTAAGTACTAAATCTGTGAACATATATCTGTGAAGAACATATGATGGCAGCAATATTTTAATGATGAAATTAAACCACTGCCAAGGAAGCCAGAAAATTTTCCAAAAACAATTTGAGGATGTGATGATTAATTTAATTTTAAATTCACAGACCCTTTCTCAATGAACTATAGTATTCTGTGGAGAAAGGACACCAATCAAAATGTTGCAACCTCAAAGTTCTCACTAAAAATTAAGTAATTACATATATCTTGTCTACAACTTTGAATTATAGGCAGTAAAATTATTTCATTAAGTTAATTTTAGTATTTTGGCTCAATCTGGCATCAAAAGAGTGTCATATAGTCCTTTTCTACAGCAAAGGTGACTAAGCCAGTTTTAGGTGCATTAAATGAAAATCAAATTATAATAAAAAATGTGTACTTTTATAAAAAAAATTACTAGTACACTTATATATTGCTGAGAAAAATCAAGAAATAACATGTGGTTGTTTGTTGTGAGAGACACATACAAATAAGCGAATGAAAAGTTACAAAAAGAAAGATACAAAATTCAATTATATCATACAGTATTCTTTATTCTCTACAAACTGATTCTTTTCATTTCTTTTTTTTTCGGAATCCCAACTTTAAAACTTTATGACTTTCTTCTATACACAAAGAAAAAGGAACAGGCTTGCCTTTTACTATTGCTGGGGTTTGTACACATGACAATCATCAAAATAACAAAAAAAAATGAATTAGACATAAGTTAGTTATATATCTTATAACTAATGAAAAATAAGAGTACAGGACAGATTGGATACGGAAACAAAATGTGGGGAGAATGGAAATACCTAGAATTTCTTTTGGTATGTATATACGCATTTGGATTATGGCACCAACTTGATGTCTTTTGCTCTAAAGTCTATATGGCTACTTCTCGATATCGAAAAATTGTCCTTATGGCTTTTTTTTTTTTTTTTTTTTTTTTGAAACCGTCTCTTTTCTTTCTTCCTCTTTCTTGCTGATCCTTAACCTTAACTTCAGGTCACGAGCACTCACTTTTTCCTTCTGCTTTCTTCGGGTTCAAGTTTTGCTCTGGATCAATCTTTTCTTTGAGAATATTCTAAATTAATCAATTTATTTCAAATTATTAAATGTAATTATTTGAAATAAATTGATTATGGTACAAGAAATCTGTAAATTATTGATATAAGGAATTAATTTTACAGAACTAAACAATCTTATATGAACATTGATGTTCATACAAGATTTCTTATATATAAATAAAAATATATTAATGTAAAGTTTTTCAAACTAACTAGCACATATAGAATTAATTAGTAAGATGACTACAAATGATAATTAAAATAAATTTATCATAAATTACTTAACAAATATTATTTTTAAAATTTAGGTCTTAAAGGTGAACAAGGAAGAATAGGTCCTGCTGGACTTCCAGGACCACCTGGCCCTCCTGGTTTCAAAGGAGACCGTGGTTTACCTGGCCTGAATGGAGCTCCTGGTCGACCAGGAAGTAGGGGTCCACCAGGTGTTCCAGGTATACCTGGATCACCAGGCGGTGATTATTTAATGGGTATTCTCTTAGTAAGACATAGTCAATCTTCAAATATTCCACAATGTCCAAATGGAATGGCTACACTATGGTCTGGATATAGTTTATTATACATTGAAGGAAACGAAAAATCTCATAATCAAGATCTAGGTAAGAATTACAAAAATATTTTGGAATAAACATTTGAAATGTGCATTATTTTAAGTGAATTAAATTTTTATATTAATGAAAGTAAATTTTTATTTATTCATGGATTAAAGAGCATGGTTTTGGATTATACAAAATATAGTAGTCTTCCTTTATATCAGTCCTAAAATTGGCAACCCAAAAGAGAAGGTTCCAGCTGTTTTCCTATAATAAGAATGCTATTTTACTGTTATAATAATTTTGGTATCTAGTTCAGTACATGGGAACAACAGCACATCACTGTTGAAATATACTAGCAATCAGAATACAATCCAATTTCTTATAAGTTCTCATTAAAATTATAAAAGCTTTGTTTTAGTTGCAATATGTGACAGGATAGCTCAGTGTTTCTCAACTGGGGGCCTGTATTTCCCCTAGGGCCATAAGCAAAAAATGAACTTTTGGGGAGCCAGAGCAAACTAGGGGGACACAGTCAGAATAAAATATTAAAATTATATGAAAATGATTAAACTTCAATAAGTAAATTATTAGAGAAATGTATATAGATTATTAAAATATTGTACAAAAGTAAATTTGACAAGAAAAGTTTGAACCTAAAATGTTTTATTTGTTATCAGACAATATACATACATTTATTTATTGTAAACAAAGACATGTTGAATCTTGCACATTTATGCAAAGCATGTCATTTTCATTTTTTTCCAAAAGATATTCACTATTAAAATATAGGTCTACTGCATGTAACATATAGAGTGCATATATGTACTGTGAAACTTCAATTTAGCACAACTATTTGTTTACCTGTGAAATTGGCATCAAGTTTAGTGTGGAGTTAGATATCCAGAAATTTTCTTTTTGTTTATAAGTAGTGAAATGGCAAATAAATTTCCATAGCTCTGGAAGAAGATCAATATATATTTTACTGCATTTCCCACATCTTATCTTGTCAAATCTGAATTTAGTCAGGTTATTCATCTGGTCTTGAAAGCTCTTAACCATCTTGTTGTCATGAATAAAGGCAATCTTCATTCATTGTTGACATTGCAACGAGACATTAAAAAATCTTGCTAGTATGCATTAGCCACAAGGACCACACTAAATAAAGTAAATGGCAATTTATTACATGTTTTATTTTTAAAAATGAATGTATAAGTAGTAGTTCATAAGAAATATGCTATAATTATTTTAATTAAAAATCAATTTTGTAATATATGAAAAAATTGTGGTATTTTTTATGTTTATTTTTTAAAAGTTTTCCCAAGCAATATTATGGAGGGCCACAGAAAAATATTAAGCTCAAAGGGGCTAAAGGTTGAGAAATACTGGGATAGCTGACCTTTAGACTATTCATTCTAATAGGGGACAGATAATTTGACCCAGATGCCTATTCTCAAATTACAGTATGTAAATAGTGCATATATTAAGAGTATCACAAATAAGAACTCATTGAGATCATTCTCTAAATGAGTACTTACCCTTTAATACTTGCAAAAATTGTAATATGTAAATATGAAAAATCATGATGATAGATTCTGATAATGAGAAAAAAATACTCTGTATTTGAAAATTCCAGACTTATAAACATCTGGCTCATAACACTCCAGGCATTATGCTGATAGGAAAAAATAAGATATGGATTATAGATGTGACAGTTCCAGGAGATAGCAGAGTGGAGGAAAAACAATAAGAGAAAGTCATTAAATATATGGACCTTCATATTGAGGTTGAATGATTTGGAAAAAAAGACAGCCATAGTTTCAATTGTGGTCAGAGGAGTAGGAGCCTTCTCAAAAGATTTGAAACACCACCTGAGAAACCTAGAGCTTGATAGAATCAACATCTGTATGATATAGAAGGTTGCACTACTTGGAACAGCATACATTTTGCATAAATACCTTTAGATTGAGTCTCCTTCAGGGGACTGGGATATGTTTAGGGACCAAATCCTGCCATTAATAGTTGAGGAGCTGTGTTTGAGTTATATAATAATCTTCACTATAAACAAAAACAAACATAGCATTGTTTTTTGTAGAAACAAGAGTTTTTCTACAAAAATAACAATCATCACAATTACAAAAACTGTGTAGTGTTGTGTAGGTTGAATGGTGTATACTGTGTTAGATGCATGTCAAAATGCATAGACACAATCAGGCATCCTAACTATCAGCCAGGATCATATTAACAGAACTGCATCAAACTGATAGCTGACTCATGGAGATCTTTTTGGGGAGACAGAAGGATTCATAATTGCTATACTAAACCAGTCATAAATACAAGAAACTCCATCCTAAAAGACAATTTCAGATGACAGGAAATGCTGTATCAGCATATCATATCAGGTTGCAAGCTTTTAATGTAAACTGACCATTTACATTGACATAACCAAGCAACAAATATATCAAAGGCTTACACATAAACACAAATGATTACAAACCGGCAGTCATGTTATAAATACACCTCAATCATAGAAAACAAGAGACAAAATATACTATGAGTAAGCTATAATCATAAACAGAATAATCCATCACAACAGATCAGACATCACTTTCATTATAGACATAGCTGTAACTAAGACTTATGTATACTGAAAAAATAGTTTGTTGCATGTTTTAAATACCCAGAACGCACCCAAGAAATAAAGTGCCTGTATAAAACAAGAAAAGTCTGTAGTCTTTTTTTTGCACAGGTGTTATACCACATTCACTATAAGTCTAGAAATATTAAGACTTCACAACAGCACATATATTACACTACAGAAAGCCACTGTACTAAACACCAGTCAAATACATGAAGCACACAAACATAATAATAGTTTTTTTTTATAGCTATGCCTTGATCTCAGCACAGCAAAACACTAAGCAGTAATATTAATTGGATAGGATACATTCTATTAATATCATAATAATAAACTGCATTCAAGAATCAAGTAATTAATTTGAATTTTTCATTTTTCTGATTCAACTGTCATTCAATTATCAAAAAGCAAAGATAAATTACTTTTTATATATTAATTAAAATTAAAAAACTATTATTTTTTAAAGTACTTAAAGTTTTGGAGTATTTTTCTTATGAAGGTACAAAATTGTATAACACAATCTCTATCTTCCTATCAAAATCAGAAAATATTTGGAAACTTGTTCAAAAATTGTCATGATGATAAATCTCCTAAAAGTCACCATGAAGCAAGTCTAGTTTACAATGAGTTCTTAAATCTCTATTAAAATCATGCATTAGGTGATTAACTTAATCATATGTATTCATTCTTTATAGTTAATCATATATTAAACTGTTAATTTAATTTAAATAACTAAATTATATATTTCTTTTACAGTTAATTAATGTTTAGTTAAACATTAATTAGAAATACATTCATCTGTAATACTAGAAACAAATGACACGATTATTTTTTTGCTTAAATATTTTTAAAATCATTTTTTTTTTACTTCAATCGGAGACCTTTTAAGTCTCCAAAAAAAAAATTCAAATACACACAAACATAATCCTAAATTAAAGTTTATCATATACAGGGTGTGGCGTAAAGAGTGGATAATCCATTACCTGTGGATAGGGGACACAATTTTTAATTTTTTTAACAGTCATGTTGTTTAGTAAAAGTGTCATAGAAAATGTCCAATAACTTGAAAACTATTTTTTTTGGAAAATGGACTCCTCCATTCACATTTTTCAATTTTTATTCAATTTCTATTTTTTTGGAAAATTGTAAAATGTGAATGAAGGAGTCCATTTTCCAAAAAAATAGTAAATGTCCAATAACTCAAACTATGACACTTTTACTAAACACAATGTTTAATTTTCTGGACAGTCATGATGTTCCCTATCCACAGGTAACAGATTATCCACTCTTTACACCACACCCTGTGTCTTTATTTAAGCAATGTTATGCAATTACTGTATTATTTGTCATTATTTTAAATCTTTTTAGAATAGAAGGGCTTAGTAGTGTAAGAAATTTTTATATAACAAATGAAAAAATTTAGTGTTTTTAACTTAGAATTACAATTTGTTATAAACTAAAACATGATTTTTTGAAAATAATATCAGAAGATAATTTAAAATAATTTATAACTTTTTAGGTTATGCTGGATCTTGTTTAAAAAGATTTAGTACAATGCCGTTCCTATTCTGTGACTTTAATAGTGTGTGCAATTATGCAAGTCGTAATGACAAATCATATTGGTTGTCCACAAATGCACCAATTCCCATGATGCCAGTTGGTGAAGATACCATTCGTCAATATATCAGTCGATGTGTTGTTTGTGAAGCACCAGCTAATGCCATAGCTGTCCACAGCCAGTCATTAATAATACCAGATTGTCCAGGTGGTTGGAAACTTCTATGGATTGGATACAGCTTTGCCATGGTGAGAAATTAATATAATCAATCACTGCATTCTGACTCGACTATACATCTGACAAGATGCTTTATTCAGAGACTTAAATATATTATTCTCAGTGAAACAGAAATCCTGAGGGTGGAGCACAGCTTCCAAAAGTGCTTGGTTCATATGTTATACTGAGAATGATATATTGGAGTCTATCCAAGTAAGGCCATCTTGCTGAGCAATTAGTACAGTATACATATGTATATATAACTAATCAAATGATTAGTCATCACACTCAATAATTTCTTTGATATAATTATACTTACTTTTCTTTAATAGCATACTGCTGCTGGTGCAGAGGGTGGTGGGCAATCACTGTCAAGTCCAGGCAGTTGTTTAGAAGACTTTAGAGCCACGCCGTTCATCGAATGTAATGGTGCTCGTGGGACATGCCACTATTTTGCAAACAAATTTAGTTTCTGGCTCTCAACAATTGACAATGACAATGAATTTGAACGGCCAAAAAGCACTACACTTAAAGCTGGCAATCTCTTGACTAAAATAAGTAGGTGTGCAGTATGTTTGAAGATAACTTAACGAAAAGAAGCTGTAATGCAGAGTGTCAGCAATTGTAATGATAGGGACATTGGTGTTAATTTAAAACTCTTCAGTGAAAGAGTTTTAGTCTTACTTCCTGTGGCTAATCTGAAATCTACTTGGAAGCTTTATACAATTCCTGTCTCTATCAAAAATCATAAACATCCCAAAAGTACTCTCTTTTATATAACTTTTGTATCGTAAGTTAGCTTATTAAAAATTTAATTGTATAACTTTTATACATTTGAATTTGAATTCATTGGTGCTATTAAATGCATGCTGAAGGGCCTTTAAATAGTGTCCCATTATGCATCAAAGTGTATACATATTATTTGTGGGGTTAAGTTTTGTGTGATGCATTAATGTAACTTTATTTCATTTAATTTAGATTTTAAAAGATGTGTTGTTTTCTTATGTTAAAAATTTCCATCAGAAGCACTTAATGCTTTTAAAACATTATGTTCATAAAATTATATTAAAGTGTTGTGTTGTGAAGTCTTTGCTACTACTGTGTAATTCTATTTATTGCAAGCTTATCAATAATATAAAAATTTGAAATATGCTTTCTAGTTTTGTAAATATATTTTAATATTTTTTTTCTGCTCATTTCTAATTCAGTGTTGCATCACATAACAACTAACCCCATTTAATGCATTTAATGATGTTTATCATATGTCAAAAAAAGTTCTCTCTTTATTTCATCATAGAAGCATTCAATTTTTGGCAGCTTCCAAACAAAAAAATTTCACAACTATATTATGTGATGTTATTGTATATGTTTTTAAATTCTCTTGAAAAAATATTTTTAATACTATCACAGATATGATAAATGGAAAATTTTCTAATTGAATACTCAAGGCAGCTTTATAAAAATACTTACTGTCTTCATTCTTTAGTAAATTAATAATCTTATTGACTCTACATAAATATATAGATATATATGTGTATATATATATCACTTGTATGAATTGTCTTTCAAAAGTTTTCACCTATAATTCAACCACTGCCATTGTGTAAATTGTGACTTAATTTTAAATGAGATGTACGTGCTTTAACTATTGTATATGATACTGTAAGTATCATTTTGTCTAAATAAATTATCATTAAATTCAATAAAATATATTCAAATTTATTTTTTGAGAGAAAAATGAAAAATTTATTTTTAACATATGTAACAATGATTTTAGAAATGGTAGCTTCATTCACTGATGATGATGTAAGAAGGAAAGAGGAAATCAAATTTTCATTAACATCAAACTTTTTTTTGTTAAATATCTCAAACTGAATAATGAGAACACTGCCTATTAAAAAATTTCCATTGTTCTCACTGCCATTATTGGTATAGACTAGTCTCATGTTTTTTTCTTTATTGTTATCACTTGTAAATTAACGGATTTTTATGTGTTGCTCTAGCTTCTTAAGGAATCAATAAAATGATGCTTCTCTTGTATATATTTTTATTCATACTATCTTTCTTGTGATTTCTGTACATTTATTAAAAATTACAAAACGTATATTCCTTTTAATAATTGAATATTTTATATTTTTTATGAAATAATAATTAGTAAAATTGTATAATTACATAACAAAATATAACTTAAAATTTATAGATTTATTATTTATAACATATGTGAAATATAATCTAAGAAATATTTAAATAATAAATTAAATATGATTTACTATATTAAATTTTTTCATTAAACCAACTTCAATAAATTTAATCATATCATCATGAACTGTTTTAGATTATTTATTTATTTTATCTGTAAAAAAAAAGTTTACTAAGTTTTCATAATACTTCTTAAGAACTTTAAATATTTTTGTCTCATATTTTGTATATATTATAATATACTAAATCATGACATTAAGGATGTCAAGGTTTCAGCAAAAATTATATTTCAAACTCATTATTCCATATTTTTTACTACTAAAATGTTTAATTGTTTTAGTAGAGCAGAAAATCATTAGAAGTCAAAGACAAAGCTTTCAAATATATATATTTTAATTTTTATCTTCAAAACCACAAAACTAAAACATGAATTATTTTGGATAGTATTAATTTAAACAGTTTACAATATATTAAACTTATCTTAATTAGTTAATAGTGTCAAAAATTACATTATTTTATCTTTTTTTTTTTCTTTTGTGGAAAATACATAAAAATCTGTCATCTCATAAATCAATTTCTATAGTATCAGTATCTAAAAACATTTGAACAGTAGTTACTCAAAAAAGAAAAAACAAAAGATTTCATTTAAAAAAGAAAAACCCATCTTGTAACAGCTCCAAAGAAAGAATTTTTTTTTTTTTTAGCAATTGCTGTTTAAATGTTTTTATTTAGATACTGATACTATAGAAATTGATTTATGATGATGCAGATCATGTTTTTTTATGTATTTTATTTTATGGAATCTTATCAATAAGTTTGTTTTGTAACTCTTTCTGTAATTATTTGAATCTTTTTCATTTGATCTATAGAATGAGGAGAATCATTCTTAAGAGAATAATCTTTACTTTACAAAATTCATTTTGTAAAGTAAAGATTAAAGAATTGCCTCCTGGTGTGATATCATCTCCATAAAGAAAAGGAAAAAAGGATAAATAATAGCATTAAGAAATGTACTTGTGTACAATATATAAAATTCAAGATGATTTTCCACCTTGGTAAAGATAAGTTTAGAAAATGAGACTCCACAGCCTAATTAGTTAAGTCTAGCATTAATATAGTGCAAAATAACCAAAACAAACTGTTTGATTATGTAAATGATCCACAAAGAACTTACTCTTTAAAATCATCTCAAGCATTTTGTATCATTCTATTTTCTGCAACCCACAAGAAAAATTTTTTTTAAACTTGTTTTTGTTTTGTTTTGCTTTTAAATGTTATCAACTAAAACTTTAATTTATATAAACTATCTGATATTCAAGAATACAGTACAATCTTGGTAATCTGGCATTCATTAGTTTGACACACACTGGTATTACTGGCATTGTTGCCAAGTTATAGACAAGATTCCCACTAAATTTGAACACTTTTCCACTATAGATGGAATGATATTGTGCCATAGTTCAGGCTCAATACTAAAGATTGTGATCTCATCATCTTTGTTCATAAATATTTCTGAATCATCTTGAATTTTAGATATGAAGCTAAAGCCTAAAAGAAAATGAATAACTTAAAGTCAGTGAGTACATTCCAGGATGTATCAAACAGTGCTTCAGCAATACTACAATGTACTAAAATATGTTCTGATAATCACTGATGAGTTCATCGGTACAGTGACTGATGCACATTGTACAGTACTTATCAGGCAATGGATATGGTGAGCTCTTATGAAGCAATATGGCTGGCTCCATGGTAATATACAGTGGGTGATTGGATAACGAACACTTTCGCAGAAGATTTTTATGATCAGACAACAAACACTTCACTGAACAAACATAAAAAGAAGCGATGGAAATAGCAAATACCGATTTATTTTCCTTTGTCTTCAGGTAACTTTTTGGAGTGCGGGAGACGTCGACGCTCAACCCAATATATACTGATCAAATAATATTCCTCGAACTTTGAAATACTCCCTTGTAAATTTCCAGCCTTTAATTTTTCTGACAAACAATTCTTTTATAGTATTCGTGAGACTGTCGGGCGGGCACTCATTAAGTTTTGTGTCAAGTTTTATTTTCGAAAGGTAAAATAGCAAAGGTAAAGGGTGGACAGAAGATGTCTGATGTTGCTGGGCAGGATGGCTTGAACAGGTCTACAGTAGGCTACAGTTTAATCTTAGAAAAATACAGTATAATCAAGAAGACTCAAGCAGCTAAAGGAGTAACAAAAATCACATCTGAGAAATAAAGAACATCGAAGAGCTCATAATGGAACCTGAAACAGATCTGATGACAGAAGAGCACCAAGAACTCTTGAATGAATAACACCAAGAAACTCAGCAAGATATGTTTTATTAAAAAGAAGGATTAATGCTGATATTTGCTATTAATTAAAGATCTTTTGAAGAAGTGGGGGATGTCAAATCAACGGTCTTAGAATGGCATACAAACCAGGTTGAGGTTAATAGGCTTGGGGATCTCTACAATTATAATGCTATTAATTACTTATAAAAATCCTGAAGAAGAGAGAAAAGCAATCGACATTAGACAGATTCTTAAACCCCACAAACAAAAAAACATAACTAATAAAAATTTAAGACTGCATATATACTGTATGTATTTTTATTATTACATATTAATGAATGTAGTAATAAAGTTTGGAGTTCGATCCCCCATGCTAATCGCTTGGTGCTGCTCAGGATACNCATAATGGAACCTGAAACAGATCTGATGACAGAAGAGCACCAAGAACTCTTGAATGAATAACACCAAGAAACTCAGCAAGATATGTTTTATTAAAAAGAAGGATTAATGCTGATATTTGCTATTAATTAAAGATCTTTTGAAGAAGTGGGGGATGTCAAATCAACGGTCTTAGAATGGCATACAAACCAGGTTGAGGTTAATAGGCTTGGGGATCTCTACAATTATAATGCTATTAATTACTTATAAAAATCCTGAAGAAGAGAGAAAAGCAATCGACATTAGACAGATTCTTAAACCCCACAAACAAAAAAACATAACTAATAAAAATTTAAGACTGCATATATACTGTATGTATTTTTATTATTACATATTAATGAATGTAGTAATAAAGTTTGGAGTTCGATCCCCCATGCTAATCGCTTGGTGCTGCTCAGGATACGTCCAGTCGGAATTTTATATCTCCTTCTTTATTTATCAATATATACAGTAATGTACAATATTACAGCCCGACATCGGTCGAAGGTTTTAAGTTGTTTGTGCTGCGTCCGTTTCCCGTAGCTGTTCCTTGAAAAGTGGGTGACCAGTTCAAAGTTTGCTTTTTTCTTTCCTTGCGCCCTCTATCGTCAGAATCGGCCCGTAGCCGACGGGCGCCACAGTGCTCCCCCCCCAGTGACAACGATATAGGGATCACGGGTACCGGGGGTTGAACCAGACGTGATGTCCTGACCGGGTCGTGGTGGTTGGTGCTTGTGTCGGTGTGACAGGATTGCTTGCATTGTTGACTGGTGGAGTGAATCTATCGTTTGCAGTTGTATCGATGAATGCTGGTTTGAGCCGATCTATGCTGATGACAGCTTCTCTGCCTTTTATTAGTACGGTGAAATGTTTATTGGATCGTGTAAGGACTTGATAAGGGCCATCGTAGGGAGCTTGTAGGGGTTTTTTCACAGAATCGTTTCTAACGAATACGTGGGAGCATTCCATTGTTGAAGGATGTAGAAAGGTGATAATTTTGTCATTTTATGATCAGACAACAAACACTTCACTGAACAAACATAAGAAGCAGCGATGGAAATAGCAAATACCAATTTATTTTCCTTTGTCTTCAGGTAACTTTTTGGAGTGCGGGAGACGTCGACGTTTGGACTGGAGAAAAATTGTTCATAATATTGCGGAGGCGCTGAAGAAAGATGGGTGGCTCAAGGGAGTTATTATTTGTTGGTTGTATGAAGTCGGCAGGTAAACGTAGAGTGGTTCCATATACCATTTCTGAGCAAGTGCCCTCGATGTCGGGTTTAAACGTGGAACGGAGCCCGAGCAGAACTGTAGGGAGACTTTCTGTCCAGAGGTTGTTGTCACTGCATCGTAGGGCTTGTTTGAGTGTGTGGTGAAAACGCTCTACCAGCCCATTTGATGATGGGTGATAGGGGGTTGTGCGGATTCATTTGATTCCAAGGAGGGCAGTGAGTGACATGAAGAGTTGGGACTGAAACTGTTGCCCCTGGTCAGTTGTTATAATGGAAGGAGGAACTCCGAATCAAGCTACCCATGTTGATATGAATGTTTTCGCTACCGTTTCTGCCGTTATGTCCAGGATTGGTGTGGCCTCCGGCCAGCATGTGAATCAGTCGACACATGTAAGGAGGTACACGAATCCTTCTGATGGTGGAAGTGGTCCCACGATGTCCATGTGTACGTGGTCGAATCATTGCTTGGGTAGGTCGAACTGTTGCAGTGGGCTTTGAATGTGGCGGTTGATTTTATTCCGCTGACAAGTTATGCATGTTCTGCACCATTGATTGGTATCCTTGAGCATGGCTGGCCATACAAAGCATTCCTGAATTAGTTTCCGGGTTGCACGAGTGCCTGGATGGGAGAGATTGTGAACGGAATTGAAGACTTCACAGCAAAAGTTAATTAATCGGAATATATGGTCGTATCCTATTATTTGACATATCACATATGATTTGTAGTTTGGAATTGAGAGTGAGAGGTTGTAGCTGTAAGGAAGATTGTTGGGTAGATTGTAGTTTTTTAAGCTCTTCATCGTTGTTTTGTTCCTGTGCTATTGCGGTGAAGTCTAAGGAAGAAGGTAGCTGGATGTTGTTGATTCAAGAGAGAGTGTCAGCTACAGTATTGTCAGCTCCATGAATATGTG